TTATTAGTTATTAACATCTGGTTTGGCAGTATGTTCTAGAAGCAAGAGAACTTGATCAAGAAGTGACTCATCCTGTAATCCCAGCTACTCAGGTGGCAGAGTTTAGGAGGATCATAGATTGGGAGGCGAGCCCAGGCGAAAGCTAGTGAGACAGCATCTCAATCAATAATCTGGGAATGGTGGAGTGTGTCTGTCATTCCAGTTATGTGGGAGGTCCTAGGCAGGAGGATTGCACATAAGGCTAGCCCTGAGCAAAATCATGGGACTCTATATGAAAAATGACTAAAGTAAAAAAGATTGAGTGTGTGGCTCAAGTGTTAGAGTATTGACCTAGCAAGAGTAGGGACTGAGTTCAAACCCCAGCACTGTTAGATAAATATTTAATTAATAAATTAATTAACTTCCCATATTCATTTGAAGATCATACCATCTCCATGAGCCTCATCTTCTACATATTGAAATAAAGAACATTGTTCCTTATCAAGTGAGGAAAATGCAAAGAACACAGCAATAGATAACACAACCTCAGAAAAGTAAACAACCGTATAGACACAGACCTCTCACTCTGTTGAGCCTATCTCAATTGCATACTATTAGATTACTGGGCAATTAATTACAGAATGTAAATTTTATAGTGTTAAGTGCCTTACACCTAGCAAAACTGTGTATCTAATCCTGATAGTAAAAAGTCTCAAAAGTTGGATTTTCCTCAAATATGTTCTCCTGGAATTTCAGCTTTGTTCTTGAATGTCTGAAAAGTTCAATAGGTGAAAGGAGAGAAAATATACTTATGAATAGTCCCTATGTGTACATACAACAAAGTAGTTTTAAATATTCTTAATATAATCTATGTGATCTTGCCTGTCTATCTGTTTGGTTATGTATCCTTCTCACATACCATGATCTTGTTTGTGATGTTTTTAATTACTCAGAAGAAACCAGATCTTTCCTAATGTCAACTTGTGCACATGCATAGTCTTCTGGCTGAATCTTACCTAAATTACTAATACTCAGAGTTGAGGTCTTGAGTTTTAATCATTTCCTCTTTATTATTTATATCCTTGACCACTTCCACCCAAATAACTTAGGTCTGTAATGTTTATCTCTGGTAATTCCCTGTAATTTCTCTTCATAGGACTTACACTAAATTGTAATCATCTATGTACTTATGAACAGCCATTAATTATGTATCTCAACCCTGAGCTACATATTCCATGAGGTCAAAGAACATGACAGTTTTGTTTACCCATGATCTAGAATGGGGCTTGGAAAAGAATTGGTTTTAATAATGATTTGGTAAATTCATGACTGAATAAATCATCTATCTATGCATACAAACCAGAATCAAAAGCTACTATCACATTTATATAATACACATACATGTATAAAATCAAACTCAGATGTGTCCCCACTGTGAGATTTCAGTGTGATACTAAGCTGCATTGGTACCCACATGTCTCAAACATGGATTGGGTTCTGACAAAATAAAAAATATTTATATTTCTCAGGAAACAAAAAGGAATCCAACTGACAATAACCTCTTAATCTCATGAATTTAACTCTCCCTCATCTTTTATCTGTCAAACCATAAGCTCATCACCTCAAAACACTGACAATATAATAGCATGCATAACATATTTTCCTTTTCTCCTTTCCTTTCTTTGACACTTCTCTTATATGTCTTATAATGTCTTGATTCTTTGTATAAAAAGCCAGAACTATCTCTTATAAAGACAAGATTCCTAGATAGAGAAAACAGATTTGACAGAAAGATGATCTTCCTCACAGTGAGAACCCCCCTGCCACGTAAAAGCAGTGGTTAATCAATAGATAAGAGGCAACATGCAACATTTCCAAAATCTGACTTCCAGATGGAGGACATATAAGAAAAAGTCAATAAAAATATTTTATCATGATAGTCATAACCTATCTTGAAAATATTGACTAGAATTTGGTTTTTAATATATATTCACTTTAAAGCACCCACATTTCTTTAAAAACATTAGTTTCTTACAAATCTGTGCCATAACTTCATCATAGGGAATACATAATCTTAATCAGTGTCTGTGAAAGACTATGTGATGCAATGGGAATTGGCGTAAGTTTGGAGCTGAAATGATCAGAATCTTAGCTTTGTCATTTAGTACCTTGGAAATCTTAGACAAATAAAGTAATGTTCTTTCTTTTTCTCAAAAAATTGTCATCAAGCCACATATTTCAAGGTTAACCTTTAGAGTTATGAATGGATATCTAACAAATCCCACAGTAAGATTGATTTGATCACTTAAAAATGCCACAAGGAAAAGAAAAAGTCCTCATGACACCACTGATGAACTCTACCAAGGTTTAAAAGAGAATTAATATTATTAATATTTTTTTCAGAAAATTGAAAAAAGTAGTACTGCCTGACTGAATCAGATATATACATATCCACACACATATATATATATGTGTGTATATATATACATATATAACCCAGGAATTCAAGGGTGGTTTATCCTCTCAAAACATTAAAATAATATCCAAAATTAGTAGAACAAAGCATGAAAGACACGTGATCATCTCCATAGTTATAGAAAAATTTCAACAAATCTACTACCATTTCATGATAAAAAAAAATTCCTCAATGAACGGGAATAGAAAGGAGCTTCCTTATCCTAACAAAGGATGTCTGTAAAAGTCCTACAGCTAGCATCATACTTGGTGGTAAAATATTGAAATAGGTAAAATATCTCCCTAATCTTACCTAATATTGAATCTTACCTAATATTGAATAGGTAAAATATCTCCCTAATATCAGAGACAAGGACTATTGTTATTCAAAATAGTGCTAAATATTTGACCTAGTGTGATTAGTCAAACAAAGGGGAAGAAATAAGTATCCAAGATGGAAAGAAAGACACTTCTCTTTTTATAGATTGCATGAACTTATATATAGAAAAGCCTAAATAATGCACTGAGTGAAAAATCCATTAGAGCAACCAAATGCATTCAGCAAGGTTTTAGGACACAAGCTCAACATAAAAAAAATCAGTTGCATGAATATCTGGCAAAGATTTTCTCCCATTCTGAAGTTTATCTCTTCACTGTTGAATGCTTCTTTTGCTGATCAGAAGGTATTTTTATGACTAGATGTTGAAGTATTTCCATTATGTTTTCCTCCAGGAATTTAAACTTTTTTTGTCTTATATTAAGGTTTTTGATCCATATAAATTGATTTTTGTACAGTATGAGAGATAAGTATCTAGATTTCAATCTTCTACATGTCTGCATCCAGTTTTCCCAAGATGGTTAGAGCTATGTGTACTTATTTTTAGGTCTTCTATTATATTACATTAGTGTGTGTGTGTGGGATGCCAATACCATGCTGTTTTTGTTATTAAGGCACAGTAGTATAGTTTGAAGTCATGTATTGTGATACTTTCAGAATTGAACTTTTTGCTCAGGATTGCTTTTTCTAATCATGGTCTTTTGTATTTCCATATGAATTTTAGGATTTTTTTCCTATTTCTGTGAAGAATGTCATTGGAAATTTGATGATGATTGAATTGAATTTGTGTAACACTTTTGGTAAAATTTCAACAGTATTAACACTTCTAGCATCCTCTGCAATTTCTTCAGTGCATTATAGTTTTCACTGCAGGGGTCCTTAACATCTTTGGTTAAATTTATGCCTAGGTATTCTTTGAGGCTATTTTGTATGAATTTTCAGAATTTTTTAGTGAGTTCCATGTTGTTGTATAGAAAAGTTAATTTTTTGTGTGTTGATTTTGTACTCTGCTTCTTTGTTGAAAGTATTTATCAGATCTAAGGATCTCTTAGGGGAAATCTAGAATGTATAAATAACCAAAAAATACCAACAAATGAGTAAATAATTCAATTAATAAGTAGATAACAGAACTGATCTGATCACTTTTCAAAAGAGGAAATACAAATGACCAATAAATGTATGAAAAAATGCCCATGGTCCTTAGCCAGAAAAGAAATGTAAATCAAAACTACATTGAGATTCCAATTCACTCCAGATCAGAATGGCTGGAAGGGGTTGATTTGATTAAAGTTCCATATATGTCTGTATGAATTACCATAGTAAAAACCCTTGAACAATCAATATACACTTAAAAATGAAAGACAGGAATATTAAACAGGTCCTGTTTGGGGATGGGTACCAGTGGGGGAGAGGGTATATGGAAAGGGTTAAAGAGGGTGAACATAGTTGATGTACTTTGCATATGTGTATGAAAATAGAACAATAGGATCTGCATAAGTTGTTTTAAGAAATGGGTTAGGTAGTGAGGGAGAACAGTGGAGGGTATGAATCTAAGATGCGTTTTAAGTGCATATGTAAATTTCACAGTGAAAGCCCCTACAATTAATAAGTGCTAATAAAAATGTTTTATAAAGGGTCCATGACCTTTGGACTATAGTTTGCTAAACTGAATACAGCTCATAGTAGGTGTTTCATAAATATTTTTTAATAAATAAATCTAATGTAGAAAGTTAAAGTAACTAAAATTTAAGATAAAAGCCAGTTTTCATAGAAAGTTTATAGCAGTAAATACCTATTTATTGTTCAAATTTTGGAAAAAATGTACACAAAGAGGAAAGTAAAAATCATGGCTAAAAGATTTTTTAAAAAGAAAACAAATAGCAGCAAATGTTGCAAAGATGTGGGGGTAAAGGAGCATCCATAAACTGTTGTTAGAAATGTTAATTAATTTAGCCACTATGGAAATCAGTATAGAGAATCTTGAAGAAGTTGAAAATATAACTTCCATATGATCTAGCCATACAGCTTTTGGGTATATACCAGAAAGTTAAATGTCAGCTTAGAATAGAAACACCTGCATACCTATGTTTATCACAGCACTATTCACAATAGCTGAATTATAGAAAAAGCACAGGTGCCCATCAGTGGATGAATTGATAAAGAAAATCTAGGCACTTCCGCTCCTGCGCACTGGGGCTGCAGTCAGTCAGCCCATTTGGTCGCTTGGCGGACATGGCCACCTCTCGTTTGCCTCCAGCGACGCTAACGCTAAAGCAGTTCATGAGAAGGCAACAAGTTCTCCTCCTCTACAGAAGGATTTTGCGAGCCATTCGACAAGTTCCAAATGATTGTGATCGCAGATACCTGAAAGACTGGGCGAGGGAAGAATTCAAAAGAAACAAAAGTGCCACCGAAGAGGATACCATACGTATGATGATTACGCAAGGCAATATGCAGCTAAAGGAGTTAGAAAAAACACTTGCTTTAGCAAAATAACTATACCTGTCTTCTGAAGGATTTTCAAATCTCCAAAGCCAGCCTAACAAGTTGCCAGTTAGCACCTGAAAGGATGATCACGTCATCAGGGAAGTGATGACTGTGAAGAGAGAAGCTTAATGAACACATCGAAACACTTATCAAAAAAGAGAAAAAGACTGTAGGCAACTTCTGGTTGAAATTCTTCTGAAATTTAACATCCATGTAGAACAGTGTAAGTCATTAAGGAAGATCCTTGGTGCTAGGTTTTCCTCCAGGGATGTGAAAAACAATTTGGAGAATACATTGATTTCAGGACACTTGAAAAAAGGTCAGATTTGTCAGATTCGTAGCATACAATTAACTGAATGAGAGCAGTGGAGGGTGCTGGAATTTCCATCCTGCACACTGAAGTCCTCTATTCGTTAGCAGAGCTAAGAAGCTAGCTCAAGAATCTGACCAGCACTTGAAAGATGGAGACAGATTTTGCAAAATGATACAAGCTATTTAGTGCTGGACTGTGCCAGTGGAGATGTAGAAACTGTGTATGTTGATAACCTAGACTGCCACCCACCTCCTGTAGCCCCAGTCCATGACAGAAATCTGAATAGCCTTCCATGGGGGCAATCTGACACAAATGCATACAGAGCCAATTTTTAGGTTTTCATGTAGGTGTATATCAGTCAACCTACTGCAAAACCATTTGACAAACGGGAGAAACATTTGTGAATAGAACACTTGTGAAATATTTTGTGTTACAATTGAAATGCACACTCAGACTTATCTAAAATGTTGAAACTTGAAATCATCCTTTAATGAGACAAAGAAGTTGGTGATATTCTTGCTAGCAGTAGTGTATACTGAATGCTTCGAAGGAGTACTTGTGCATTGAATTTGCAAGATGCAAATATCAGACTCCAAGAAAACCTAAGCTGCAGTTTGCTTTGATTTTGTTTTTTAAAACAGGTTCAACACTGCAAGTTGAATTATTTTTCAAGGGCTACAATTATAATGGAATTGTAATGGTCATGCTCTTTTGTCTTTAAAGAACATTTTACTTTGTTCACTTACATGCTTAGATTGTCCCTTCTGAATTGTAGGCTGAGTCCTATTTAGCTTAAGAGGACATTGATTTAACAATTTTTCTTCATGTATGAAACCACAATCAAGACGTTGGCCAAGGGCTGGACATGCAGCTCGTGTAGTAGAGTGCTGCTTAGCAAGCACAGGGTTCAAACCTTAACACTGCCAAAGAAAAAAAACGGCCAGAATGGAACTGCTAGGAAACACATTCTATTCATTGCGAAATGATCTTTATCAGTATTCTAGACTAGACAACATCCATGTTTCTGGGCGTTCCCTGTAAACTATCCTCCCGTTTGAATGCTCTACTTTCATTCCTAAGTTTAAATTTAAGATGTTTGAATGTTCGGCTTTATGCATGGGAACTATATCAAATCAATCATTTTGTATTTAGAAAGTTGTTTTGTACAAGAGCTTTGTGGCATGACAAGTGGGTACGACCATTTTGTAACAATTTACTCCTCTAATATTCTCGCCTTTTAAAATGTGCCAACAGATTGGGAATTTTTAATTCATAATAAAAGAATTGCTGTGAAAAAAAGAGAAAATCTAATATTTATGCACAATGGTGCTTTACTTATCCATAAAGAAGAATAAAATTATTTTCATCTTAGGAAAAATGATTACATGAAATAAGACAGTCCCACTAATTACTGCAGGTTTTCTCTCATTTGTGGGAGTTAGGAGAAAAAACAAGGTCATAGAAGTAGAAGGACAGCTATGAAAGTGAAAAGGAGGAGAGAGAGGTAAGATTAATAGAAGTGGTGAATATGATCAAAGTACATTATATGAATAGGAAATGATCATATTGAAACCCCTTACTTTGTGCAATTACTATGTGCCAATAAAAACCAGTTGTACTTATATATAATAGCAAAAAAACTGAAAAGATAAAACAATTTATAACAGAATCAAAAGGGTGAATATGGTTGATGTATTTTATATACTTATATGAAAAGAGAACAATGAAACCTTTTGAAATCATTTTTAGAAGGGGGGAAAGGGGATAAGGAAGAATGATGGAGGGGATGAATCTAACCAAGGTACATTGTAAGCATATATGGAAACATCACAGTGAAACCCCTGTACAACTAATATATGCTAATCAAAATGTTTTAAAATGATCTGCTACCCTTGCCACAGGCTCAAAGAAAATAGGGCCCCTTAATTGTGGACTGTAACTTCTATATCCATTAAGCAAAATAAATATTTTCTAGGTTAAGTCACTCAGTTGTTTCATTGCAATGATGGGACCCTAATTAATATGGTGGAACTAAGGTTTAAGTAAAATGTTGCAAGCCTTCTGAGAACTTAGACAGCTTGATTGAATATTCATTATATATTTTATGTCATTGTCTTGTCCACATCCCATAGGAAGGCAAACTGATTTTTTGAAAGAAGAAAGAGTACTGCCACTTAGCAGCAGTAGGTATAGCCAGTCTTCATCAAATGGTTCCCCTCTAAGGCCAATTAGTTTAAGCCCATAATACAGTGGACAGAAAGCCATTGTAGATTTCTGAGTCAATAAGTGCATTATATCATCAGTTGAGAAAGACATGGAAAGTTACTGGAACACATTTATGAAAGCACTAGTGAAAGAACAACATGGATTTTAAAATACCTGAGAACTCACTATTGATTAAGCAGTGTAAATTCAAGTCCTAAATGGACTAAGGATCAAGAACCACCAAATAACAGGTGAAAATGGACGTTGTCAGTTATGCTCTTTCTATATCTCAGCATCTAGTATGTGGTCTGAAATATAATAAAGTTTAACATATGATGTCAGGAACAGTCATAGTTGTTTTCAACTTAAAATTATCTAATTTAATTCTCATTATATCCCTATCATATATGTATTATCATATCCACTTTACAGGCAAGGAAATTAAACTGCAAAAAGTATTCCTAATCATGCAGTTAGTTAGAAAGAGGGCCAGGATAGGATCATAAATACAGTTAACCACACATGCTTTCTCAACAAAAATTTTACCTGCAAGAGAGTTTTTCTTCCCTATGAAAGCTTACTATAAGCACCACAATCAGTTACTCATACACAATAGTATTCCATCTCAAAAATAAAATAACCTAAAGCAAAACCACTACAACACAGTAGTTTCCTCATGAGTCATATGTCTAACCTGTAAATTTGGATTGAAAGTGAGTTCAGAGAAAGTGAATGTCTGTAGAAATACATTCACTTGGATACATCTTTACCTCAAGCATAACTTAAGTTTTTTCAATATATAAATTCCTTTATTAGAAATGTGATTAGAGCTAAAATGATGTTATTTACAAACTTCCATTCAGCAAAACTAAAAGTTTAATATTGGCATGTAAGATTTTAAATATAATTTATGATATATTTCATGCCAAACCTTATTTAAAGTTTTAATTTTATTTTTGAAGGTTTTTTCCTACCATCTTTAAAACTATTTTCAATTATCAACATAAACATAGTCATATACAAACAAAATATGTATGCAAGTTTTGTGCTTCAAAGAAAATAAACTATTCAGTTCCCAGTTTAGTTTAGTTCTTTATTTGTATCTAAATCAAATTATGAGTACACTTACAAAATGTCCTTATCACTCATTGCAAAAGTTGTGTAGATTATTTTACAAATTTCCTACATATTATTACTTTACATCATTCATAATTAGATTGAGCTCAGTATGAAAAAGCACCTTGAACAACCTCTTTATATTACTCAAAATGCTGATGCAGAAGAGCATTCAGTGGAAATATCAATGAAGAAAATATTGCATCAGTACATATATACTGTGGTCTAGAATAGCTGAAAATGTTAGCACTTTCTGAGAAATTACCGATTACTTTTGAGAAATAAAATGCCTGTAAGCTAATGAGAAAAAATACTCAATTATACTAGGGGATATTTCCAAAACTTTCCTGGAAGGCTGAATCTTATGCTTGGAAATGCTGGCAATGGTTTATATTACTTCTAAAGAAAACTTTGTAGTTAATGTAAATACTATATGGCTATTTAACATCAGAAAGAAAATAACCTTAAGAAATTATTTGGAATGCTGCCAAATAAAACAAATTGAAAATATAAAAGAGAAATTAATGTCTAATATGCATGAAATTAAAATAGATAGTAAGAAATGGGTTAAGAAAATAAGGAGATGAAGACTGATATTTTCCCATAATATTTAAAGACACCAAACCTTAAATACCAAAACGCCAAAAAATCTTGAGTGAATAAATGAAAAGAAATCCACACAGACACATAAGAATGAGATAACAATATGAAAGGCACATGTAAATATTAAATATATGCAAAGGAGACGACAATTCATGTATAGCAATTAGAGTGAGAGTTGAGTTTTCATCAACTGAACAGGAAGATAATAGAAGTCTTCATATGTCAGCTTTACAGTTTTTAAGTGTGAGATGAAATAATGACAAAGTCAGACAGTATAAAGTACAAGAGTTTGCTGCCATACAATCTAAATGCCCACTGAAAGATAATGACAAATAGGTTGTGGAATATTAATAAAATTGGATACCATATGACAGCAAAATTGAATGATGAAATTTAAAAAAAAACATCATATTGGGTGGAAAAGAATCAGAAAAATATATATGATGTAATTCAACATATGCAATGTTCAAAATTGGGGGTGGAGCCAGGCATGGTGGTACATGCCTGCAATCCCAGTCACTCAGAATGCTTAGGCAGAAGGATCTCTTGAGCCTATGAGTTGGATACCAGCCTGAAATACATCACATCTGTGTAGAAACAAGACACAACAAAGCACACTGAAAACTATTGAACAATACAGGGTAGTGGGGAAAGGGTGAGGGAGAGTGGTTGAGGGCATTAGACTGATTTAAGCATAATATATTTGCATTTTACCATGGCAATATTCCCATTGACAAATAGACACCTTGACAATGAAAGGCAGAAATGCAAAACAGGTCATGTTAAGGGGAGGATTATGGTGAGGGGGTTAAATGGAGAGAGTAAAAGAGGGTGAATATGGTTGAAGTACTTTCTATACTAATATG